CTGGTCAGTGCTTTGCCACCTGGTTTGTTTGGTGATGAGCAGGGCTAAATTAACCCATCACTGGGCTCTAGGAAAAGCCCCTCATGTCACCCCCGCCCCAGGGTTCCCCTCTGCCCCTCTCCTGGCTGAATCCCCCATGCAGGCCCTCACTGAAGCTCCTTGCCAGGTGTGGGCACTGAAGCTCTTGCTGGTCTGGTTCAGGTACTTGTGCTCTGCCACTCAGGACTGACCCCAGTGTCCCACCCCCCATTGTGACGAGTCAGTGAGTGGCGTTGTGACATGGGTGGCAACCCCACTTAGCCAATTTTGTCCTGGTACCCTCCTCCATAAAATGGATTGTAGGCCTGGGCCTAACCTGAGTGGGCAGTGGGACAGCCAGCACTGTGCCTTCCCACTGCTGCTGTGGGGCAGGCTCCTGAACCCCCCACGCCTAGTTTACCTGTCCTTAATGCTACACCTGACCCGCAGGGTGCGGGGCTGGCGGGGAGGGTGTGGGGAGTTGATTCCATAGCTGTTGTGTCCAGAGGGGTCTGGTCCTTGCTCAGAGAGAGGAGGCTGCGCTCGATCTGTCTCTGTTTTTTGTCCTGGGTCACAAACTGCTGCCTTGTCCACTGGGATCTGGGAGCCCGAACTGAGTAGTTGCTGCTCCCTCAACAGGATCTGTGCTGGAGAGAGCCCTCCATTAAAGTCCCCACTGTGCCCAGCCCAGGTAGGGACTTTGACAAGGCTGGAGAGAAAGCAGGAGAATGACTCTGCAGTCTGTTGGTTGGGGCACCCACCCACCTGGGAGGGTCCAGTCCCCTTTCCTAAGGACTCTTTAATGGCTCACCCAAAGTTAGTGCAGTGTCGTTGTAGCCATGCATGTCCCAGGAGATTAGTGAGACAAGGTAGGTGAGGTAATGTCTTTTATTGGACCAACTTCTGTTGGTGAGAGAGACAAGCATTGGAGGTTCTCAGAGCTCTTCTTCAGGTGAGATATTACCTTACCCAAAGTGTGAAAAGGTCAACTGGAGAACTTGAAGGCACTAGGGTTGGCAGCCTTGTTTCTCCGTCTGAGGTAGTGTTGCCTGCACACTCTAGGGGCACCCACCGTTACCCTTCTGTGGGCTCAGGGCGTAACCTTACACTCTGCAGGTTTGTGGGGTCTTTTACTAGTGAAAGACCCTTGCACAATAATATTCTACGTAATCTCTATCAGTTAACATTTACCAAAACAGAATGCCCACAGTAAGCATACAATGCCCACACTAAGCATACAATGCTCACCCCTCCTAATAAGGCAGACAAACTTTTCCTTCTGGCCAGTCAGGATCAGGACATCCGGGGATTCCAGCTTCTGCATGGTGTGATTGGCAGCGTGTTGAGTTCTGGCAGCTCTGATCTTGGGGCTGTGTCCTGGAGTTGGTTCCAAAAAACTTCCCTTTGGACCCAAGTTTATATAGTGAAACTTGAGTCCTGTTTAGCTATATCTTAACCAATCATATTACTAAAGTATTACAAAATAATTCTTTGACCAATCCTAACATATCGAGAAACAATTCTTTACCCAGTCATACCCCACCACCTTAGTTGATTTAAACCTTGCAAAATTAGTTGTGTAACAGACAGAAACAATCAAAGAACCAGACAGAAACCATGCAGATAAACAATAGAGCAATAGGAACCATAAAAGCAAAGCAATAAAGAAATAGAGATTTCACACCCACAACTGTTGATAGGTGATTCCTTGTCAGACAGAATGCCCTCAAAGTTTTCTTCAAATATCCTAAGATCTGTTTCTTTATCTGGTGATGGTGGGTACTATTAGGGCAGGATCCCCTTCTAAACAGCCCAATATTACATGATCTTAATGTAATTTAGATGGAATGTCAGGATGTAACTTTCTGCTGCTTCGCTCATGGCTGCTGCTCTCCTAATATGGCTGCAGAAAAGGGCCTCAGACTTTACGGTAGGACACTTTCCCACTCCAGTCAGTGATACCTCAGCAGGCACCATTGCAGTGCACAGGCTAGCAGCATGCGGGCCCAGGTGGCTTCAAGACATCAGTAGCCACTGTGTTCTCTGTCCCTTTGTTACCCTCAGGAAAAAGATATCAGCTAAAATCACTCCCACCTGTGGAAAACGGTGCCAGGATTCAGTGCCAGTGCCCTATATTCATAGTTTCATACAACTGAACAATTCCCTCCTCATGCCCTACCTGCCGCCCCCCCCCCCCCCCCGGGTTGGCCAGACTCGGCACAGCTGGGACTGGTGAGTTGTGCTGTGCATAAGTGCTCTCCAGCAGAAGTATCAGTACACATGGTTTCTTTAACACTGGGGGGAGCCAGGGATGGGAGTTCAGACCCTTTACTTTCACTCTGTGTTGTGACAATACTGACTATGATACCGCTGGGTTCAGAGTAGCCACCGTGTTAGTCTGTATCCTCAAAAAGAAAAGGAGGACTTGTGGCACCTTAGAGACTAACAAATTTATTTGAGCATAAGCTTTTGTGAGCTACAGCTCACTTCATCGGATGCATACAGTGGAAGATACCTCTGTGTTTTATCAGTAGCTGCTGCTGATGCAGCCTTGTGGGGTTCCCCCTTCACACCCACGGAATGCCTGAGCTAGTTAAGAGGAGAAGGAAGAGGACTCAGGATGACTCCTTTAGAGAGATCATGCAAGCCAGTGTGGCATCAGACTATGAATAGAGGGCCTAGAAAGGTGACTACTGCAGACTGTATAGTGAAGGAAAGAACAGCCAGCAGAAAGGCCCAGGAGTTCTAGCAGGAAAAGCAGAGGGAGATGAACCAGGACATAATGGGCTACTCTAGCAGCAAAAACAGAAGCTGCAGATTCTTGTGGACCTACAAGTTCAATGAGCACTGGCTCACCTCCCTTTGTAGTCCATGGAAAACTCCATTTTGGCACCTCCTGTATCCTCCATCCAACATTGCATGTAGCATCTGGGTCTGCACCCCTCCCCCTACCACTCCACTCCAGGGGACAGTAAGGACAACCGCAGTGTCACATACACTGACATGTGGGAGCCAGGGTTGCTGTATGGGTAGCAAAAATGGCCACGAATGGTCTTTCCCCTGGTTTAATTCTCCTTTAATTTATTTCAGAAGTATTTTATTGCATTTGTTCTGTAATTGCACATAGCTTCTATGCACTGGTTTTGATACACAATAAAAATCTGTGTCTGAGAAAATAACGTTGTCTTTGTTATTTCATAACATGTGAAACAGAATGCCAAGCACTACTCGTTATTGTACAGAACAATGGAACTCATGGGCTCAGTGACAAACATAGTGCAATAATTATAAAGGTACAGATGGAACCGCCAAATGAATAGGTGTATTAACAAGCCATGTTGTAATCAGCAATGTACAAGCCCCACACAATTCCTAACAGCTCCACAAAATTCATTATATCTGATGAAGTGAGCTGTAGCTCACGAAAGCTCATGCTCAAATAAATTGGTTAGTCTCTAAGGTGCCACAAGTACTCCTTTTCTTTTTGCGAATACAGACTAACACGGCTGTTCCTCTGAAACCTGTTTCAGGATAATATCCTACATGGAAAATGGCTGAAAGTCCATGTGGCGGCTACTCAGGAGCCCCTATGGAATGTGTTGGGATCTCAGCCTGGTTCATAGCAGGATGGAAATTCTTGCCTCCATTTCCGCTGAGCAGATCATCATGTAAGCTGTATTGTCTCCCTCACCCTCCCAGTTTGTGTAGGCCTTGCAAGAAGAATCCCAGTCCTTCCCATTCTTAGCCACCTCCTAGGCCGGTGAGCAGCCCTGCTCCAGGGCTCTGCACCGCATACTCACAACATGAAAAGCTCCATATTTTCTTTGAGTATTCAGTGTTGTTTTACAAACCCCTCCTTGTGGGTTTTAGATTTTTCTACACATAAAAAGCAACCCTGTATTTTCAGTCAAAAAATGACTTTTTTTGAGACCCCAGTGAAACAAGAAGGCAGAACGGTAAGGTCTGCATGAGCGCAGTGTATCCCCTGGAACAGACTGAACACCAGCATGGCAGCGGGGAGGCCTGACCATTCCAGAACATTTTAATTTGACATGTTTCAGCTAGCTCTAGATACAAGTCACAGAGGGCCAGATTTCACAGGCCTCAGCCACCACAACTGGAGCTGGCTTTTCCAAACAGCTCTTCTCCCATTTCAGCACCTAATGAAGCAACCAGTTAGTTCTCAATGAGACCTGCTGTGAGGTGGAAACTTCTGGCTAAACACTTTTGAAAATCTGGCCTCTTAGTTAGGTGCCTAATAGGAGCTAAAATAAAGCTGGCCCCAATTCTGGGGTCTGGTTTCGGTCTGTTTGTGCAGCAGAGTATTTTAGTCTCCAGAATCAGAGACAAAGCCCCAGGTCTCAGATCCTCAAAGGTATTTAGGCACCTAACTCCCACTACAATCAATGGTAGGTAGGCACCTACCTAACTTTGAGGACCTGGGCCTGTTAAAATGGGTTCAACAATTACCAGGGAAAGTGAGAGTTGGTTTCTTCCCCAGAGCAAGACGGGCCTTTTGATGAGGTGCCTGAGCCCTGGGGATTCCCCCTACAGCTTTGCAAGCAGCTTCCCCCTCACTCTCTGGCAGTCTGACATGGTTCCACTGAACACCAGAGACAGACAGGAGAGGCCTGCTGCAATATTGGTATAATAGCCACCATCTTGGCCAGCACACTGGGCATTGAACCAGGACTCGCTAAACTCAGAAACTTGAGTCACTGCAGCATGAGCTAAGCAGCCAGCCTCTGCAGCCAGCCACCGTAACAGAGTCACATCCTCTGCAACTCACACCAAGAGGGGGGCATGTGACATGTGCTGATTAGTGGGTTGCACTGATATGGACTTTCCTGGTCTGTCTGCAGTTTCGATGTCTCTGCAGAAACATGGGAATCCTTCAGGATCAGAGAGGGCAGAGATTAGAGAAGCTCATTTCATAGGTGCTGATGGGGTATTCTGCTATCCTCCCCCCAACTCTGGACATCTCAGGGACACAGTCTAAGCTGGGAGTTTACACCAAAAAGAGAGAAGAAAGGACGAATTCTTTGCCCAGTGAAAGAGGCTGGTGGGAACGCGAAGATCAGGGCCTTGGTATCAGCATCATAAAACGTCACCTGCCCCGCTTCATAGTCCAGATAGACCCCAATCTTTCTGGGGCTCTGACTCAGGGACAAGTTGGTAATAGGGGAGGTGTAAGCTCGGTAATACGCCCCCAACTGCTCCATAGCCCAGACTCCCACTTTGGGCTTCAAGTTGACCTTTCCCATTCTCTTCACAGACTCTCTGGCGACCCCTAGACACACATTCCCCCCCTCCTTCAACGCCAGCTCCCAGTAATGTCTGCCCGAGGTGAATGCCTCACAGCCCAGGGCAGGGAGAAACGATACATCTTCTACTCTGAAATTGTTGTATGGATTCTGCCATCTCATGCTTTTCTGATCCTCAGACACGATGAGCCAGGGATTTCCTGTGTCTGGATCCAGCATCACATTTTCTGGAGAGCAAATGAGAGAGAAAATCAGAGCATCAGAAGCAGAGCTCGGCCCTGGGGAAAGGGTTGATCGTGCCAGTGACAGAATTTGCCCCAGCTGGAGGGTGACTCAGAGTATCTCCTTCCTCCAGGATTTACCCGGCTCTGAATAGAGGCAGCTCTGAGATCTCATCAAAGTGCAGGGGAGAGTCACTCCCCTGGCAAGGATGGGTCAGTGACAGAGCAAAAGGGTTGGCATGCCAGGCCTGAGACTTCAAATCTTTTCCCTCCTGCACCCCTCTCTTCCTGCCTGACAGCGCACAGTGCACCCTAATCCTTTGTGGTGTTCGCCCCCATGCAAAGTGTTGGGAGTCCAACTTCCCCTGGAATAGTGATGTGGGGCTTGATGCTCAAAAGGAATTAGGCACCTAAGTCTCAGTTTTGATTCCACGGCACTGCCCCAAATTCCCTGTCAAATGCTTTAGACACCTAAAGTCACTTAGCACCTACGTTTTTCAGAGTAAAAGATCCCTAGCTGCCTAGTTTCTGCTGCTCCTGTGAGAGACCCTGTTCAACTCCTTTCTCCCCGTCAAATAGAGAGCTGGACTTGAACCTGGGTCTCCCAGCTCTCAGGCGAGTGTGCCAACCACTGGGCTAAAAGTTATAAAGCAGCTGCTGCTGCTGACACCACTGCCAGCCAGATTTGGAATGGTGTCAGCTCCAGTAGGTAGCCTCTGTGCACGACTCCTGGATCAGGCCCCGCATGTGAGTTAGGCAGCGGAATGCCTCTCTTCCCTCTCTCTGAGAATAGCTCTGGGGCTGAGGGAGCAGACGGGCAGCTGGAGGCCCACAGGGAGACAGCAGTGCTCACACCTAGAGATGGACCCACAGTGACGAGGGAACTTTTACTCTGAAAAACGTAGGCGAGTGACTTTAGGTGCTTGCTCGGTTTCTTGCTAAATGAGCACTTGGCGCCTAATTCCAAGGAGGTTCCCGGCTTGAGAATCACAAGCAGAGATGGGACCTTTCTGCAGGCTGGACTTGGCTTATCTCTGTGAGGGGGTGGGGCTTAGGACACCCCCCTCTCATCAGCCTCCCCCAGCGGCTAGCCTACACTCCTTGCTTTGGAGCATGGCATTCTTAGGCACCCATCTCTCTCCATTTACTGTACAGGAGCCTTGGTGCCCAAGCAATTGCAGGGCTTTTTTCCCAAGCACCTAAAAGTTCGGCGTTGTGATGCTGAACTGGGACTTGGACCCTCTCAAGCGTCTTTCCCCACGTCTGCTTGGCAAAGGGGAATGAAGGACCACAGATGCAGGGCCCCACCATTCTGGAGCCCATCAGAGCAGTCAAGCATCCCTGTTCAGGAGAGAACTTAAGCAGGTGCTTAAATGAAGCAGGCCATTTCCTGAATAGGGCTGGACTGAAGCATGGGTTCCAGTGTTTTCCTGACTCGGTCCTGAGTCAGTGCTTGGAGCTCCAGGGCCTGTCAGCCCAACAGGTGACCACAGCTATGCTGATGCCTAAACTGCCTGAGCTGATGAAGCAGATCTTGGGGAGCCTCAGGAGAAAACCCTAGGAATACATAAGGACGTTCATCCTCAGTGCTAGAAAAGTACATAACCCCCGGGGAACCATAGCAAGCTCCTCAGTACCTGCCGTGACTGGCAGGCCCCATGGAATGTATTGGAAGGCCGCGAGTACCTGGATTGTCTTATGAGGTTCACAGAAGCTGCAGAAGCTTGGGGTGGGGGGGCTAGAGGAGGGGACCCTCATTTCTGTGGACCTCACTCCATGTGGGAGACTGTGCTGGGGGGTGCACTTGTGTCCTGTTGGTGAGCTGTGAATTTTCACTAGTAGCCCAGCAAATTTCCTAAGGTTCCTCAGAGCCCCAGTTCAGCTCAGCTCAGGCTTCCATGCTGCCATTTCCATTTCAACATTTAATCACTTTTAAAACAGGGCGGCAACATTCAGAAGTTTGATCCTGTGGTTCAGATCTTGACTAGAGGAATCTGGCCAGCTGAATTTTAATCTTTTCCCACCATCCACTCTCAAGAGGGCATCCCGCCAAAAAGTGTTAGGTTAATTGGATAAATTTCCTAATTGGGTTGATTACCTTGTGTTTGTTTTTAATTAGAGCTAGCTGAAAAATGGTGGGTGCACATGATATTGTTTCCTACTTTTTGCTTTATTGAATTTTTATGCTTGTTTTTCTACCAGAAAATCCAGGGAGACACAAAGCATTATTTATCCTCAGTTCAGGATAACATTCACATGCAACTGTCCCCACTCCCCGTTGGCCCCAGGAATTACCTTTGTCCAGCCTCCATTCTGACACCAGAGTCTCTAGAGGATGAAAAAGGTGAGAGAGAGAGAGGGGAGATCTCAGGATCTGATCAGTAGGTGACAATCATTTTGTGATTTAATATAACTTTTGGGGGAGATGCAGACAGAGCTATCCTTATTAGTAATTGTTTATTAATTATTACTTCTCATGTGATCGGGCCTGAGGACCCCAACAGGGAATTACGGCCCTCTTGTATTAGGCTTCGTGTGAACAGTTCCCTGCCCAAGAGAGCTCAGAACGTAGGAATCCGGACAATACACAGCAGCCGAGTACACTGACAAACAGGATCACATTGGGGGAGCGGTGGCAGCCCAGACCGCTTCACTAACATTCAAAGAAGCTACTCTGTTGAATTCTATAGACATTACCAAGCCTCTATCTCCTGACATCAAATAGCTGGACAGCACCGTCAGTGCAGGGATCAGGGTGGGCTAGCTGATGGTACCACCCACACAGTATGGCTCCCTGTTACCCTCTCTTGGTGCTGGGCCGCATACAGAGGTTGATGATCCTGCAACAACAGCGGCTAAGAAAACTGGATCTCTGAGCTCAGGCTGCAGAGGCTCATTCTATCAGCTCCAGAGGTGCCACATTTAATCCCCACCACCAGGCTGTTCAGGGGTGTTGTGTTGTCAGCATCTGATTGTTCCCCTCCCCCTCGCTCACCCTTTTTCTTTACAGTGTCAAGTCTGGACAGTCTTTCCCCGTTGCTGCCTGGCTGATCACTGAAACTTTCTCCTGTTGCCTCCCTCACAGTCCTCTCACTTCAGCCAGACTCCACACCCGCTCCCCATGCTACCCAACTCCCCACTCGCTTCTCCGCAAGCTCTCAGCACCATAAAAATACTACAATGCCTACTAATCAAAATGCTACAGCATCTACCCACTCACTCAGAGTGACAGCACATTTTCCATGACATCTTCAATTCCAGCAGGTGAAGGCAAATCGCTCCCAAGTCTCTTTGAGCTGATATTAAAGTCTCTGGGTGAAATCCTGGTCATAGAATATCAAGGTTGGAAGGGACCTCAGGAGGTCATCTAGTCCAACCCCCTGCTCAAAGCAGGACCAATCCCCAATTTTTGCCCCAGATCCCTAAGTGGCCCCCTCAAGGATTGAACTTGCAACCCTGGGTTTAGCAGGCCAATGCTCAAACCACTGAGCTATGCCTCCCCCCCCCCCATTATAATCAGTAGAAGTTTTGCCATTGACTTCAACAGAACCAAGATTTAACCCTCTGTGTCCTGCTGTAACCAGCACAGAATATTATCAGACAGTAACAAATGGTAAACTAACCATCGGGGCAGATCGCTTTTCATCACCACAGACACATCCTTACCTGCAGATCTTGTCTTCACTTTTGCTCGTGACTCACAAACATTTCACATAGGAAAGCCCCAGATTTTTTTACCTTTGAAGTTCTTCAGAATGTTGTGCAGAATTCTGGTCTTTTCAGAGAAATCCCAGCTGCCCCATTTAAATTCAGGAGAAAGACTCACTGGATTCTCAAATGTCCTCTGTCTGCCTCTAGAGAAAATGACCCGCAAAATTCATCATCATTGGATTGTTCAATTGAAATACATCAAAGCTTGAGGAGACACCCTGCACCTGTCTCTCGCTGGTGAGATCAAAAGGAGAAAGGTTGGAAGCAAGGAATCCCCTACCCCCTCATACAGTTGCAATCCTTGATCTTTCCTAGTGAGCAGTTGTTCAACAAACCATCTCTAAAAAACTTTTTTTTTAAATTGTGTTTGTGGGTAAAATTTAAAAAAACGTACCTAAGTGACTTTCAAAATTACAATTTTCTTTTTATTTGTTCTGGGGTTTGTCCCCCATTCCCTCCTTTCTCTCTCCTTTTTTAACCTTATACCACTGAATGCCATAGGTGCCGACTTCCCCTCTTTCCCATGGGTGCTCAACTCACCTCCACTCCACCCCTTCCCCGCCCCCATTCTAACCCCTTCCCCAAAGTCCCTCCCCAGTTCTGCCCCCTCCCTGCCAATATTCCAACTCCTTCCCTAAATTCTCACCCTGGCCCCGCCTCCTCCCCTGAGCACCCCACGTTCCCGCTCCTCCCCCCACCCAGAGTGTGCTAATGCTGCCAAACAGCTGTTTGGCGGCGGCCGGGCCGGAAATGCTGGGAGGTAGGCAAAGGAGCAGGGACACAGCGTGCTCGGGCGAGAGGCAGAGGTGGAGGAGATGAGGTGGGGTGGGGGGTGAGGGGAGCTTGGCTGCTGGTGGGTGCAGAGCACCCACTAATTTTCCCCCGTGGGTGCTCCAGCCCCAGAGCACCCGTGGAGTTGGTGCCTATGTTGAATGCAATTTGTTTTCCATTTGCCAGTCTAGTTTTTCAAATCTTCCTCAGCTTTGGAAAATCTACAGAGTGGCAAAAATTAAAATGAAACTCTGTAGCTCTTCCAAAATATAGAGAGTTTTGAAATCCAAAATGAGAGGCCATTTTAAGATGGAGCACACTTTTTGGTGGACTAATTTCCTGCATGAATAATTTCAGCCCACTGAACTTTTTGGTGTCTGTCATGGAAAGCAGCTGGGAAGCAGCGAGATGCAAGGAGGAGGCATTTTAAGGGGAGGTGCATGTACCCACTAAACAATGAGCAGGGGGATAGTTTCCACAACAATCTTATGGGGCTCCCTTGTGATACCAGGGTTCCCATTTGCCCCAGGGAGGAGAGGTAGACTCAGGCGGGGACAGATTCTGAGTCTTAGGCCTGGCCCAGCTGATCCTTTCACTCTGGCACTGACCCGTCTCTGTCGGGGAGGGAATCTCTCTGCACTGTGCTGAGATCTCAGAGCTGCTTCCAAGTCAGAGCTGGGTTAATCCTGGAGGAAGGAGATTCCCTGAATCACTCTCCAGCTGGGGCAGATTCTGTCACTGACATGATCAGACTCTCCCCCAGGGCTGAGCTCTGCCCCTTATGTCTTATTCTCTGTCTCTCCCCACAGACAAGTACTGGGGACAAGGAAGGAGAGAACAAGAATAGGAGAGAGGTTAAAGGTTAAAAATTAGGGAACCAGGCGGGGACACTGAGTAGAAAACCCCAGCCAGTGCCCGCTGCTCTCCGTCTCTCCGCAGTGAATGCAACTCTGGATCCAGACACAGCTCAGCCTACACTTATTGTATCTAAGGAGGATGGGAAAGGTGTGAGACGGGGGCAAACTGCAGGATCTGAACAACAATCCCCAAAGATTCCTGGCTGATTCCACTAGCTCTGCCACTCTGTAGCAAGGTGGAGAAGTTTTGAAAAGTGTCACGAAAGGGAAAAAAGAAAGAAAAACTGAGAAATGAACAAAACAGTCACAACCCTGGACATCATTTGTTTTATGGCACTAGGTTATGAAAAAGAAAAAAGAAATAAAAGGAGAGAAAATACGGGTGGGGGTAAAACAGATATTCAGAATTTCAGTGTTTTTAACGAAAATCAGTTGTGTGGAAAATATTCAAGAGTAAAAAAATATTTTGTGTCACACTCTGCAAAATGGAAACATCCTCTTGGGGGAGCGAGCAGCAGCCACTTACCCGCTCAAGGTGCTTCTGATGTCCTAGAAGGGGAAGAGAGAGAAAAAAGGGAGCTCAGTCCCATGCCCCACACTGGGCATCCCTCCTGTGCTGGAGGGGACCACCTTGGCATCACTAGTTGAGCTGCACATGCCATTCTCTGTAGCTAGCAGCTTTTGAAAGTCCCAGTGAGCATCTAGCTGCACATTCAGATAACTAAATACCTTTACAAATTTGGCCCCTGCTGTCCAAACCCCTTCCAGAGTCGACAAGAAGGAGGCAGAGTGAGAAGGAGCCATGTACTTGCTCCAGGCACTTGTGATGTCCTAGAAAGGAGAGAGAGAGAGAAAAGAGAGCTCAGTCCCACATGCTACTCACTGGGGACTCCTCCTGCTCGGAGGGGACTCACTTGGACATCACTAGCTATATGCAGTTCCCTGTAGCTAACAGCTTCTGAAAGTCCCACTAAGCACCATCTGCACAGCTATAGGCTAAATACTGTTATAGCCTGGGTTAAACCTCACTGGAGCTGGTAAATGCAACTGCCACCCGTCCTTTGAGATAACTGCATGGGAGATGCAAGATCTTAGGAATGTGGAAACTTGAAAAAGATGATTATATGGAGCTGTGCCATGGGATTACTCATAAACTTTTGTACCTGTAAATGTTCTCTGTATCTTTGTAAGCCAGGGATTGTATTTTGTCTCTATGGGGGAGAGTAACCAAGCTCCCCCAGGGAACTAAAATCAATGGGGGCTAATTCCTTTCCATCCTGGGACAGGTTAACCACTCCAGAGATGTCCCACCTCCAGGGTGAATTGCACAGATTGGTTCAGACCAGGTTCAAGAGGCCCAGCAAAGAAAAAAGCTTGTGATATAAAGGGGCAGCCTGAACTGGCTGAGAGTTTCCCTAATTTTAATCAAAAAATGACATGACATTGCAGCCTAAACGGCAAAACCCTGCTAGAAGGGCTGGACGTTGCCAAGATCTCCCCATGACAGATGGGTGAGTTTAGGCTCATTGTTTTTTTATGATAGGTTTCCTCGGTCTGAAAATAAATGTACTGCACTGGGTGCAAGCCAGCTGGTCATGGGTGACCCTGTCATTGTCAGAGGGTGCGAAGTGCAGTGCTGAACTAAGACCAGACCTGCTGGGGTAGGTGCAGTGAATTGCAAGGGGACTGCAAGCCTAAACACCTGGTCTGGAGGGAGAGGAACATGGGTTCCTGCCCAGAGAGAGGTGATGGCTGAAGGTCTGAGACCCAAAGGGCTACTCTAGAGGAGGCCACGGAAGGGATGGAGGTGCCGTTAACCCTGGAACTGTGACAAGTCGTAGGACGTCACTGAACTCCTTTATGGAAGCAGGAAGCTAAATGAGAGGGGCCTCCAACCACCGGGGAGCACGTGTCCCCACCCAAAACAAAGACAAATGTGAGGTCACTCAGGAATTGGAACGATGCAGGTGGAAGGGATTCACTGGGGATATGTTGGGTAGAGGGCTGTGTGTGTGAGTGCGTGTGTGAGTGAGAAACAACAGACACACCACACAGAGAGACAGAGAAGGAAGCTCCAGACACAGCCTGAACAAGTACTGGAAACATGGCCCTGAGGAGCCTAGGAGCCGCAGCTTTTGGGGCTGAGTGCTGGCTGAGAGAGGCTTGGAGTTGTGAGCGAGGCAACTATCTCCTGTTGTTGGATTCTCTCCTCCCACCAACGCACCCCACTCCACCTCACCTCACCTCCCCTCCGGGGAAGCAGGACTTTGTACATTTTTTGTATATAAGCAGGATTGCATCAAAGGAATACCTGACTCAATCTCCGGTTTCTGTTTCCAGAAGGAACAACACTACAAGACCCTGAATTTCTGGCCAGCCACTAGGGCCAAAAGGGGTAACAGTACCTTTGTAAATGTGGCCTCTAGTGTCCAAGCCCCTTCCAGAACCGTGGAGAATGAGGGGGAGTGAGAAGGAGCCTCGTACGTGCTCAAGGTGCTTCTGACGTCCTAGAGGGGTGAGAGAGAACAGGGAGCTCAGTCCCACATGCTGCACACTGAGGACCCCTCCTGCTCTGGAGCAGACTCACTTTGATACTCCCAGTCCAAGTTCCAGCCCAAGTCCCCTGAAGCCAGTAACTTTACACACAATTGGCAGCTTCATTTCATTTTAATATCTTAGTTCCTCGAATTCCCGTTCTCTGTGTGATGTTTGACCTTGCAGTGAACTTTTCTCCAAAATTGTTTCAAGAGGCCCCTCCCACACCCATCAGTGGTGTGTGCATATCTCCCAGAGGGGTGAAATGGAGCTACCCACATGCAGTAAGCTGGAATGCAGAGTCCAAGGTACATTTCATTTCTAGGATTTTACTACCAGCGAGAATCTGGGTGACAACAAGGAACACAGGAACCAGGAGTTACTTCAATTCAGCGTGCTGCAGGACGGAGGATGGGAAGAGAATGCAACAGCTCAAGGCTATTAGCTTCCAGGAATACCCATTTTGTGGAATAAGAAATCTTGCAATTAAAAATTGCACATGTGTAAGAAGGCTGACCACCCTGGAAGAGACTGGGCCAGAAACATCTGTCCAACAGGACAGCTATGAATCTGTTACTCTTCATTCAGAAAATAAAACAGTTTACTTTACTATGATAATCCTGGATGCCAATACCAATTTAAGAGAGCTTCCTTCCCTGTGCAGGGAGCTGGGACTAACACACAGTCTCACCTGTAGGATTTCACTCGCTGGCTGCTGGCACTTCCCCTCCAGCTCACTGATCAGGTGGTCAAGACGGGATATTTCTTCTGTGATTTTGGCAATATAGTTGTTCTGCCTCTTTAAAATGTCCTTGTTTATCTCATTCAGCTGGGCAAGCAGGAGTAGCTGTTTTTCCTCCACTAATTGGCACACTTGCTGAACTTCAGACACAATCTTCTGCCTCTGGGTTTCTGTCTGTTTCTGCCATAAGCAAATGTGAAAGAAGGAAAGGGCAGTTGAGGAGCAGGAAGAGTCATGTGAAATTCTACAAAGCCTTTTGTGAGCAGTGAGCAGCATTTCATTCAATCCCTAACAACTCAACACTTGGCATAGGGTATGTCTACACTACGAAATTAGGTCGAATGTATAGAAGTCATTTTTTTAGAAATCGTTTTTATATAGTCGATTGTGTGTGTCCCCACAGAAAATGCTCTAAGTGCATTAAGTGCACTAACTCGGCGGAGTGCTTCCACAGTACTGAGGCAAGCGTCGACTTCCAGAGTTCCCGCAGTCTCCGCCGCCCATTGGAATTCTGGGTTGAGATCCCAATGCCTGATGGGGCAAAAACATTGTCGCGGGTGGTTCTGGGTACATATCGTCAGGCCCTCCCTCCCTCCATGAAAGCAATGGCAGACAATCGTTTCACGCCTTTTTTCCTGTGTTACCTGTGCAGACGCCATACCACGGCAAGCATAGAGCCCGCTCAGCTCACTGTCACTGTATGTTTCCTGGGTGCTGGCAGACGTGGTACTGCATTGCTACACAGCAGCAGCAACCCATTGCCTTGTGGCAGCAGATGGTGCAATAGGCCTGAAAACCATCGTCATCGTGTCCAACGTGCTCCTGGCTGCCTTGGTAAGGTTGGTCAGGAGTGCCTGGGCAGACATGGGCACAAGGACTAAATTAGGAGTGACTCGACCAGGTCATTCTCTTTAGTCCTGGAGGCAGTCGTATTGTACCATCTTATGGTGAGCAGGCAGGAGATGAGGATGGCTAGCAGTCCTACTGCACCGTCTGCTGCCAGCCAAAGATGTAAATGATAGATGGAGTGGATCAAAACAAGAAATAGACCAGATTTGTTTTGTATTCATTTGCTCCCCGCTCCCTCCCTCCGTGAAATCAACAACTGACAATCGTTTTGGTGAGGTCTGTCGGGGCACCTTGAAAACTTTAATGGAGATTCAGTCCTGCCTGAAGTACCAGAGGGAGGGATATTTTAGTGGGTTGAGCATTGGCCTGCTAAACCCTGGGTTTTGAGTTCAATGCTTGAGGGGGCCATTCTGTGTGACAGTTGTTTTTGTTTCTCCTTAATGTAAAGCCATCCCCTTTGTTGATTTTAATTCCCTATAAGCCAACCCTGTAATCCATGTTGTCAGTCGCCCCTCCTTCCTCAGAGCAACAGCAGACACTCGTTCGGCGCCTTTTTTCGGTGCAGATGCCATACCACGGCAAGCATGGAGCCTGCTCAGATCACTTTGGCAATTAGGAGCACATTAAACACCACGAACATTATCCAGCAGTATATGCAGCACCAGAACCTGGCAAAGCGAAACCGGGCTAGTAGGTGACGACAGCATGGTGACGAGAGTGATGAGGACGTGGACACAGACTTCTCTCAAAGTACGGGCCCTGGCAATGTGGGCATCATGGTGCTAATGGGGCAGGTTCACGCAGTGGAATGCCGATTCTGGGCCCGGGGAAACAAGCACAGACTGGTGGGACCGCATAGTGTTGCAGGTCTGGGACGATTCCCAGTGGCTGCGAAACTTTCGCATGCGTAAGGGCATTTTCATGGAACTTTGTGACTTGGTTTCCCCGGCCTTGAGTCACAAGAATACCAAGATGAGAGCAGCCCTCACAGTTGAGAAGCGAGTGGCAATAGCCCTGTGGAAGCTTGCAACACCAGACAGCTACCGGGAATCAATTTGGAGAGGGCAAATCTACCGTGGGGGCTGCTGTGATGCAAGTAGCCAACGCAATCAAAGATCTGCTGCTATCAAGGGTAGTGACCCTGGGAAATGTGCAGGTCATAGTGGATGGCTTTGCTGCAGTGGGATTCCCTAACTGTGGTGGGGCCATAGACAGAACCCATATCCCTATCTTGGCACCGGAGCACCAAGCCAGCAACTACATAAACCGCAAGGGGTACTTTTCAATAGTGCTGCAAGCACTGGTAGATCACAAGGGACGTTTCACCAACATCAACGTGGGATGGCTGGGAAAGGTACATGATGCTCGCATCTTCAGGAACTCTGGTCTGTTTCAAAAGCTGCAGGAAGGGACTTTATTCCCAGACCAGAAAATAATGGTTGGGGATGTTGAAATGCCTATAGTTATCCTTGGGGACCCAGCCTACCCCTTAATGCCATGGCTCATGAAGCCATACACAGGCAGCCTGGACAGTAGTCAGGAGCTGTTCAACTATAGGCTGAGCAAGTGCAGAATGGTGGTAGAATGTGCATTTGGACTTTTAAAAGCACGCTGGTGCAGTTTACTGACTCGGTTAGGTCTCAGCGAAACCAATATTCCCACTAAAAAGAGAAGGAGTACTTGTGGCACCTTAGAGACTAACAAATTTATTTGAGCATAGGCTTTCGTGAGCTACAGCTCACTTCATCGGATGCATTCAGTGGAAAATACAGTGGGGAGATTTATATACATAGAGAACATGAAACAATAGGTGTTTCCATACACACTGTAACCAGAGTGATCACTTAAGGTGAGCTATTACCAGCAGGAGAGCTGGGGCGGGGGGGGGACACGACCCTATTGTAGTGATAATCAAGGTGGGCCATTTCCAGCAGTTGACAAGAACGTCTGAGGAATAGTGGAGGGTGGGGGAGAAACATGGGGAAATAGTTTTACTTTGTGTAATGACCCATCCATGCCCAGTCTCTATTCAAGCCTAAGTTTATTGTATCCAGTTTGCAAATTAATTCCAATTCAGCAGTCTCTCGTTGGAATCTGTTTTTGAAGTTTTTTTGTTGAAGTATTGCCACTTTTAGGTCTGTAATTGAGTGACCAAAGAGATTGAAGTGTTCTCCAACTGGTTTTTGAATGTTATAATTCTTGACGTCTGATTTGTGTCCATTTATTCTTTTACGTAGAGACTGTCCAGTTTGACCAATGTACATGGCTGAGGGGCATTGCTGGCACATGGTGGCATATATCACATTGGTAGATGTGCAGGTGAACGAGCCTCTGATAGTGTGGCTGATGCGATTAGGCCCTATGATGGTGTCCCCTGAATAGATATGTGGACACAGTTGGCAACGGGCTTTGTTGCAAGGATAGGTTCCTGGGTTAGTGGTTCTGTTGTGTGGTGTGTGGTTGCTGGTGAGTATTTGCTTCAGGTTGGGGGGCTGTCTGTAAGCAAGGACTGGCCTGTCTCCCAAGATTTGTGAGAGTGATGGGTCGTCCTTCAGGATAGGCTGTAGATCCTTGATGATGCGTTGGAGAGGTTTTAGTTGGGGGCTGAAGGTGATGGCTAGTGGTGTTCTGTTATTTTCTTTGTTGGGCTTGTCCTGTAGTAGGTGACTTCTGGTTACTCTTCTGGCTCTGTCAGTCTGTTTCTTCACTTCAGCAGGTGGGTATTGTAATTGTAAGAATGCTTGATAGAAGTCACCTACTACAGGACAGGCCCAATAAAGAAAATAACAGAACGCCACTAGCCATCACCTTCAGCCCCCAACTAAAATCTCTCCAATGCATATCCTGCTGGTAATAGCTCACCTTAAGTGATCACTCTGGTTACAGTGTGTTTGGTAACACCCATTGTTTCATGTTCTCTATGTATATAAATCTCCCCACTGTATTTTCCACTGAATGCATATGATGAAGTGAGCTGTAGCTCACGAAAGCTTATGCACAAATAAATTTGTTCGTCTCTAAGGTGCCATAAGTACTCCTTTTCTTTTTGCGAATACAGACTAACATGGTTGCTACTCTGAAACCTGTCAATATTCCCACTGTTATTACTGCTTGCTGTGCGCTCCACAATATCTGTGAGAGAAAGGGGGAGATGTTTATGGCGGGGTGGGAGGTTGAGGCAAATCGCCTCGCTGCTGGTTACGCACAGCCAGACACCAGGGAGGTTAGAAGAGCACAGGAGGGCGCAGTGCGCATCAGAGAAGCTTTGAAAACCAGTTTCATGACTGGCCAGGCTACGGTGTGAAAGTTCTCTTTGTTTCTCCTTGATGAAACCCCCCGCCCCTTGGTTCACTCGACTTCCCTGTAAGCTAACTAACCTCCACTCCTCCCTTCGATCACCACTTGCAGAGGCAATAAAGTCATTGTTGCTTCACATTCATGCATTCTTTATTAATTCATCACACAAATAGGGGGATAACTGCCAAGGTATCCCAGGAGGGGTGGTGGAGGAGGGAAGGACAAGGCCACACAGCACTTTAAAAGTTTAAAACTTTAAAATTTATTGAATGCCAGCCTTCTGTTGCTTGGGCAATCCTCTGTGGTGGAGTGGCTGGGTGGCCAGAGGCCCCCCCACCGCATTCTTGGGCATCTGGGTGAGGAGGCTATGGAACTGGGGGAGGAGGGCGGTTGGTTACACAGGGGCTGTAGCGCCGGTCTGTGCTCCAGCTGCCTTTCCTGCAGCTCAACCATATGCTGGAGCGTATTAGTTTGATCCTCCAGCAGCCTCAGCATTGAATCCTGCCTCCTCTCATCATGCTGCCGCCACCTTTCAGCTTCAGCCCTCTCTTCAGCCCGCCACTTACTCTTTTCAGTCTGCCATCTCTCCTCCCAGTCATTTTGTGCTTTCCTGCACTCTGACATTGTCTGCCTCCACGCATTTGTCTGTGCTCTGTCAGTGTGGGAGGACAGAATGAGCTCAGAGAACATTTCATCGCGAGTGTGTTTTTTTCGCCTTCTGATCTTCGCTAGCCTCTGGGAAGGAGAAGATCCTGTGATCCTTGAAACACATGCAGCTGGTGGAGAAAAAAAAAGGGACAGCGGTATTTAAAAAGACACATTTTATAGAACAATGGGTACACTCTTTCACGGTAAACCTTGCTGTTAACATTACATACATAGCACATGTGCTTTTGTTGCAAGGTCACATTTTGCCTCCCCCCACCCCCAACGTGTGGCTAGCCCCTCCCCCTTCCCGTGGCTCACAGCGGGGAATATTTCTGTTCAGCCACAGGCAAACAGCCCAGCAGGAATGGACACCTCTGAATGTCCTCTTAAAGGACCCTATTTCAACCAGGTGACCATGAATTATATCACTCTCCTGAGGATAACACAGAGAGATAAGTTTCAGAGTAACAGCCATGTTAGTCTGTATTCGCAAAAAGAAAAGGAGTACTTGTGGCACCTTAGAGACTAACCAATTTATCTGAGCATGAGCTTTCGTGAGCTACAGCTCACCATAAAGAACAGATGTTGTTTGAATGCCAGCAAACATACACTGCAATGCTTTGTTCTACAATGATTCCCGAGTACATGCTACTGGCCTGGAGTGGTAAAGTGTCCTACCATGGTGGACGGAATAAGGCTGCCCTCCCCAGAAACCTTTTGCAAAGGCTTTAGGAGAACATCCAGGAGAGCTGTGAATGCCAGGGCAAATTAATCATTAAACATACTTGCTTTTAAACAATGTATACTATTTTAAAAGGTACACTCACCAGAGATCCCTTCTCTGCCTGGCAGGTCCGGGAGGCAGCCTTGGGTGGGTTCAGGGGGTACTGGCTCCAGGTCCAGGGTGAGAAACAATTCCTGGCTGTCGGGAAAACCGGTTTCTCTGCTTGCTAGCTGTGAGCTACCTACAACCTCATCATCATCATCTTCCTCGTCCCCAAAACCTGCTTCCATGTTACCTCCATGTCCCTTGAAGGAGTCAAACAACACGACTGGGGTAGTGGTGGCTGAACCCCTAAAATGGCATGCAGCTCATCATAGAAGTGGCATGTTTGGGGCTCTGACCCGGAGCGGCCGTTCGCCCCTCTGGTTTTCTGGTAGGCTTGCCTCAGCTCCTTAAGTTTCACACGGCACTGCTTCGGGTCCCTGTTATGGCCTCTGTCCTTCATGCCCTGGGAGATTTTGACAAATGTTTTGGCATTTCGAAAACTGGAACGTAGTTCTGATAGCACGGATTCCTCTCCCCATACAGTGATCAGATCCTGTACCTCCCGTTCGGTCCATGCTGGAGCTCTTTTGCGATTCTGGGACTCCATCATGGTCACCTGTGCTGATGAGCTCTGCATGGTCACCTCTGCTGATGAGCTCTGCACTCACCTGCAGCTTGCCATGCTGGCCAAACAGAAAATTGAAATTCAAAAGTTTGCGGGCCTTTTCCTGTCTACCTGACCAGTGCATCTGAGTTGAGAGTGCTGTCCAGAGCGGTCACAATGGAGCACTCTGGGATAACTCCCGGAGGCCAATACCATCTAATTGCGTTCACAGTACTCCAAATTCGACCTGGCAAGGCCGATTTCAGCGCTAATTCCCTTGTCAGGGGTGGAGTAAGGAAATCGATTTTAAGAGCCCATTACGTAAAAAAAAGGGCTTCGTCATGTGGACGGGTGCAGGGTTAAATCAATTTAATGCTGCTAAATTCGACCTCAACTCCTAGTGCAGACAAGGACATAGAAAGAGGAGATTTTTCTGTAGCCTCCCAGCTGGCCAAACTGGTCATAAAGGTTAGAGCAATTTTTTTTTTTTTAAATTTTCAGACTTAGCCCCAAGTCTCCTTTATCACCAGCCTCCTGAAAACCACTTTCTTCCAATAGCAGGAAAGTTGACAAGAGGGAGGAAGAGTGACTCAGAATTGGATTGCAAGAGAAAGGCAGTAACACAAAAACATTTGCCAGGAATCAGTGATTAGCACAGGTCAGGAATTTTTCATCTAATCATTTTGTTTGTTGTTGTTGTTGAAAAATGTAGTCATCAAAACCAAAACTGTTTGTGAGATGGGGTCAGATGTGACAAACAAATTTCCCAACTCAGACAGATTCAAAATTGTCAATATTTTGTTTTGACTTTTTAGAATGAAGAAATCTGGTTTAAAATGACTTCATTTTTAATTTAAGCTAATTTAGACTGAGTTGTTTTTTTGTTTTTTTTAAAGGGAGAAAAGGTCAAAATTGAAACTAAATGTTTCACAATTACTGAGTCAAAAGACATTTGATTGACCCAAAATGGGAAAAAAATATTTTTTGGTTCATGAATATTTTTGAGATTTGACTTTTCATCGCATGGGAAAAAATCTCAAATACTCAAAAAATATTCAGGAGATAGGAAGACCATTTCCCAGCCAGTTCTATCAGTGATGCTCCACACACATCCTACAGAAAAATGTGCACAGCCAAGGAGACACGAAGGGCCACAATGTCTTAACACCCACTCTTGTGCTTTCAAGTCTCCGGATACATAATTTGTGGTACACAAATTATTGGGGACCATCGGACTCAGATTTGCATCCAGGCAGTTCAAGGAAAGCAGAGGTGCTGGTTGACTGCATCCAGGCAGTTCAAGGAAAGCAGAGGTGCTGGTTGACTGTCTAATCACCTGATGCAAGAACAAGAGACTTGTGGGGGTTCAAATGTGAGTTACACAGAGAGCTCAAGATTGTGGCATGACATACCCTGCAGTTAGGTGGGTGTGAGAAGGAAGAGTCTGACAAAACAAGGTAATATCAGAGACAAACCCAAATTGTTGGAACAGATGGCGAAATCCCATCCCCACACCAGCTGAGACCATTTCACAGGCACAGTTGTAGTCAGTAGATGCGTGCAATTTGGGGTGCAGAAATGTACAGGCTGGATTGAAAATGTATATTGGAGATAACCCTTCACCATCACGATAGTATTGAAATAAGAAGATGCCTCATGCTTGCCTGAATATAGCCCCTATGGAGGTGAGACTAGAGTTTCATTTCCCATCCCTCTCCACAGCTAAAACCCTCACCTACTCTCTCATCATCTAATGTCTTGATTACTGCAGCATCCTTCTCTCTCTCCTTGACAACTGTAGTCTTTTCCTGCTCGTATCCATTCAGAATGCTGCTGCAAAGGTCATTTTCCTAGCCTGTCGCTTTGAGCATGTTACCCCTCTCTTTGCACCCCTACACCAGGTCCCCCTTTTTCTGTTGCATCAAACATGAGCTGCTTGTCTGTAGTTTCAAAGCTCTTCACACCCATCCCCACCCTATGTATAATCTTTCGCTGCACTTTCTTCCATACTGACCCTCATGCTTGGGAGAAGCTCCCATAAACATCCACAAAACTATCTCATTATCTTCCATAAAAAACCTCCTTAAAACTCTCCTGCTCCATGATGGCTACAAAAACACTTGGCGAGGGTTAGGCTGCTGATGTGCTGAGACCGTTGATGATCACACTGAACAATATTGTCCCACTGGTCCCTTGTACTCCCCAGTCTGTCTGTAGCCAGCTGTTGTCTCTGGTTTTACACTTAGATTGTCAGCTCTTTGGGGCAGGGATCATCTTTTTGTTCTCTGTTTATACAGCACCTAGCACAAGAACAGTTTATATAGCAACAAGAACAATGTTCTCCCCACACAGCTAAGATGGATAAAAAGGTGGCCAATCTGGGCCCGCTGGCTGTCTTTCTAAAACGTCTGCTACAGCTCCAACATAGGCTTGGTGCAGAAATCACTGAGTGAGGTTCTCAGACCTGTGTCATGCAGGAGGTCAGGCTGGATGATCATAATGGTCCCTTCTGATCTCAATATCTAGAATTGATGAGATGGCGATTTTCATTATGTTGGCATTGAGTCCTCCCAGCCCTATGGAATCCCAGGGAGCCAGGAACTGAGACCAGATATGGAACTCATCATCTCCATGGCAGTTCCCAGGGACATGATCGGATCACCAGCTCTGCTGGGGGCAGGAGAGTCCTACAGCAGCTGCACTCACTGCTGAGCTGTAGGGATGTTGGCAGGTCTGATGAATGCTCAAAGGATGAGATGTTCCCCTAACTGAGAACCCTGTGATCTAGGTTCACTTTCTCCATCCCGCTGTTTGCCTTATTCATCAAACATTTCTGTGTGTCTCCATTAAACCAAAAGGGAGTTTACTTTTCAAAGAGAAATAAATAAGTAATAATATTGTACAGAGCGGAACATGTTACTCACTGTAATTTGATAGTACTCAAAATAACCACACTGTTGGTAATGACCAGGGCTATATCCATTAGTGCAGTGTTTCTCAAACTGTGGTCTGTGGACCACTGGGGGTCCACGAGGGCACTCCAGAGGGTCTGCTGGCCTCACTGGTCAACTCCTCCCTCTCCCTCCAAGTGCCTCCTGCATGTTGGGGAACGGCTGATCAGCGGTGTGCAGGAGGTGCTGGGAAGGAGGGAGAGGAGTGGGGATGGGGTGAGCTCAGGGGAGGGGGCAGAAAGAAATGGGAAGACGAGGGGAAGGGGTGAAGAGGGGGCAGGAAGAGGTGGGGTGGGGGTGGGTTCTTGGGGTAAGGGGTGGAGTGGGGGCAGGGCCTGGGACTGAGCAGGGGCTCGGGGGTCCACGAAAAATTTTAAATCAAAATGGGGGTCCTCGAGTGCTAAAGTTTGAGAACTGCTGCATCAGTGAGTAACAAGAGCACTTACCAGCAGCTTCTGGGTTTTCATTTCCCCACTCCGTTTAAAATCCAGAACGTCATCTCGCTCTTTCTTCAAAAACTCCAGTTGTCTCTGAATGTGAACCTAGGAACAGAAAAGTTATTTTGCTTTGGTTGCACTTTAGGTTCCTTGTTTCCAGTTATATTTATATTTTCAGGGTATCTCACATCAGTAACATGATATATGAGCAAAATGTGGATAAAAATGGCAAATGAAGCTGGCTTACTGGCATGTTCAGCCAAGTCCATACAATCCCAAAGATGAAAGAACTCAACAGTATACAAAAAATATAGAGGCTGAGATTTTGAAAGCAGTGCAAGGGACACAAGGCTACATTCCCAGAGGGGACTTAGGTATTGCAATTCTGAGCATTATAGCACCTAACTTTTAGATACCGAGAAAGCCAGTGCACTCCACAAACTCTGAACTGGGCCCACATGATCCCTATACAATGCATGGGGAAAGAAAGGCACCTAAGCTGGGATTCAAAAAAGCCAGCATGCTAGGCGGGGAGGCACCTAAGGTAGCCAATGGGAGATGCCAAGGACAGGGGTGTGTCCTAAACGCCACCTCTCTCAAGGAGTTCAGTACCTAAGCCCTGGAAAATGGCTGTGGAAAATCCACATGCTGAGCGACGCAGTTACACTGACCGAACTCCCAGCGTACATAGTGCTATGTCGATAAGAGGGCTTCTCCCGTTGAGATAGCAACAGCCCCTCGGAGATGTCGAGTGCCTACACCTTTGGGAGCTCTCCTGTCGGCATAGGTAGCATCTTCACTAGCGCTACTGCGGAGCAGCTGCACCGCTGCAGTGCTCTAAATGTAGACAAGCCCTGAGGTCTTGGTGCCTGAAGGCAGCTCCCTCTGTCTAGGATTCTCAGTGGCAAGCCCTCTTTTGGAGTCAGGTGCATAAGCTGATTCTTGCAAGAATAGTGGTAGTGCCTGCTTGACTCCTCACTAAACAGCTGAGGGGGAAAGAGGAGGAGGAGGACGATGCCATCCCTTCTAAACTCATAGGCTGCCATTTCTTACTAAAAATTGCTCATCCTCTCAGTTAATCAATTGGCACTTTTATCAGTTGAGTTCACAAGTTTGGAGGGGAAACTCATCTGCAGCCTTAGCCTGGAATCGCCTGCCTAATTTGAGGACTTGGCGCTGGTCTACACTGCAAAGTAAGGTTGGCTTAACCATGTTGCCCTATCGACCTAGCTACCCTCTCTCAGTGTATGTCTACACTACGAAATTAGGTCGATTTTATAGAAGTCGATTTTTAGAAACCGATTTTATACAGTCAATTGCATATGTCCACAATAAGTGCATTAAGTTGGCGGAGTGCGTCCTCACTAATATCGCTATCATTGACTTACAGAGCGGTGCACTGTGGGTAGTATCCCACAGTTCCCGCAGTCTCTGACGCCCATTGGAATTCTGGGTTAAGCTCCCAATGCCTGATGGGGCAAAAACATTGTCGCGGGTGGTTTTGGTTAATTGTCGTCAGGCCCCCGTTCCCTCCCTCCCTTCATGAAAGCAACGGCAGACAATCGTTTTGCACCTTTTTTCCTGGGTTACCCGTGCAGACGCCATACCACGACAAGCATGGAACCCGCTCAGCTCACCATCACCGTATGTCTCCTGGGTGCTGCTGGCAGATGGGGTACTGCATTGCTACACAGCAGCAGCTCCTTGCCTTCACTGCAGATGGTGCAGTAGGACTGATAGCCGGCGTATGTCTCCTGGGTGCTCCTGGCAGACCTCGGTGAGGTCGATCAGGGTGGCTGGACAGACATGGCGCTCCTCCTCTTAGGGCACCAAATGGGAACCAGAGACTCCAGGTCATTCTCTTCTTTAAGTTTCGTCTCATGGAGATTCAGTCCTGCCTGGAATATCATGCAAGCTGGAGGCGTCTTCCTCAGGCTACTCTCCCAGCCGGCAGCACCGCGTGGTCACACCTACCCCAGCCTACCGCTTGCTCCCATGGCTCATGAAGCCTGGACAGTAGTAAGGAGCAGTTCAACTATAGACTGAGCAAGTGCAGAATGGTGGTAGAATGTGCATTTGGACGTTTAAAAGCTCGCTGGCGCTGTTTGCTGACTAGGTCAGATCTCAGCGCAACCAACATTCCCATTGTTATTGCTGCTTGCTGTGTGCTCCATAATATCTGTGAGAGTAAGGGGGAGACGTTTATGGTGGGGTGGGAGGTTGAGGCCGATTTTGAGCAGCCAGACACCAGGGCGATTAGAAGAGCACAGCAAGGTGTGTTGCTCATCAGAGAGGCTTTTAAAACCAGTTTCATGACTGGCCAGGCTTCGGCGTAACAGTTGTGTGTGTTTCTCCTTGATGCAAACCCACCCCCTTTGTTGATTTTAATTCCCTGTAAGCCTCTCCCCTCCCCCCTTCAAAATAAAGTAACTATTGTTTTGAAACCATGCATTCTTTCTTTATTAATTTTTTAAAAAATGAGGTAGCCCGGGTGGGGTGGGGGAGGAGGGAAGGACAAGGCCACATTGCTTACTGTAGCTACACTAAACTTCAAACTGTTTGAATGACAGCCTTCTGTTGCTTGGGCCATCCTCTGGAGTGGAGTAGCTGGGTGCCTGGAGCCTCCCACCCTCAGTTGTTGGGCATCTGAGTCAGGCAGATATGGAATATGGGGAGGAGGGTAGGCGGTTATACAGTGGATGCAGCGGGGGTCTGCACTCTTGTTGGCTTTCCTGCAGCTCCAACACACACTTCATCAAGTCCGTTTGCTCCCCCAACAGACGCTTCATCATGTCCATTTGCTCCCCCATTAGCCTCAGCATCGCGTCCTGCCTCCGCTCTTCGTGCTCACTTAATTCTTTCCTGGCCTCTGCCACTGAATGCTTCCATGCATTAAGCTGTGCCCTATCAGTGTGGGAGGACTGCATGAGCTCGGAAAACATGTCATCGCGAGTGCGTTTTTTTGCCTTCTAATCTGCGATAACCTCAGGGACGGAGATGATAGGGGGAGCATAGAAACATTCTATGCTCTACGATTCTGGGGGGACTGCATGGTCACCTGTGCTGCTGAGTTCGCCACGCTGACCAAACAGGAAATGAAATTCAAAAGTTCCTGGGGATTTTCCTGTGTACCCGGCTAGTGCATTGGAATTCAAAGTGCTGTCCAGAGCGGTCACAATGGAGCACTCTGGGATAGCTCCTGGAGGCCAATACCGTCGATTTGCGGCTGCACTACCCCAAATTCGACCCAGCAAGGTCGATTTTAGCACTACTCCCCTCATCAGGAAGGAGTACAGAAGTTGATTTTAAGAGCCCTTTAGGTCGACGGAATGGGGTTTTGTTGTGTGGACGCAGTCATTTTTAAATCGACCTAATGCAGTTAAATTCGACCTAACCCCGTGGTGTAGACCAGGCCTCAGGGAGGTAGATTTACAAGAGCTCCTTCCACCACTGCAGGAAGTGTCCACACTACAGCAGCATGGTTGTGCCACTTTGCAATTCTTGTGCTGACATACCCTTGCTCTGTGCAGTAGCTTCCTCTTTTCAGCTCCATTACCTAAATTGCCCTTCAGAGCTTGTGACTCAAACCTCACTTTACACTGAACAACTTCAATTCTCTAGAGAGGCTCCCCTCCCTCCACACACCCCAGTGAGAAATGGATTGGAAAGGGCTCCAACTTCTGAAAGATGTTTTCCACTATCATACACCTTTGAATCCTACATTTTCTGCCTATTTTGCCACTTTACAGTGTAAGCAGTGTCAGGATGAGCTCCACCCTGACATCTGGTGGTGAGGTGTGGCAAGTTGTGGAAAAGAACTTCAAGGGCCGATCTCATTTGCATAGGCACACCCACCCTCCCTAGAATGAGGCCATAGCTGCCCAAATGGTCACTTTGGCTGCTGTGGGATCCCCAGTGTCTCTGTTATTGGGGCAGGAAGAATAAATTGTTATTACCCTGATTATGGGAACTGTGCTTGGAACTGTACTTGGCCTTTTGTTATGATGGAGGGACTCACCATCAACTAAGTAGCACTCGCTAGGCAAGGGACATGGGTTCCAAAACTCTGTGAATTGAGAGAGGCTGGGGACAAGTATTAATACTTGGTGAGGGCCTTATGTGCTAATTGCACTTCCTCCTCTCTCCACTGTGGAATATCAGAGCTAATTTTGATCTCATTAGAAATCTAGTTACAGGCTGCTGAGCTCACTTTGGGCTAATAGTGTGCCAGCACTGAGGCTCCTCTACTACAAGCTGAACTGACTAAGAGCTGAAATCACTGAGTATTGTGTTAAGTAGTGGGGGAGCCTGAAGATATATTGTGGAGCAGTTTGCGGGACGGCTGGAGTGCCTTGTGGACAGGCTGGTGGAGCAGTTCATAGGACAGTGGGAGCGGCTGGTGGGACGCGGAGCAGTTCACGGATTGGCTGGACAGCAGGAGCTGCATGTGGGCCGCGGAGCTGAGCGAAGCAGTTCGTGGGGCAGCTAGCGGAGCGGAGCGAAGGCCTGTGGGGCGGTCAGCTTCAGATCATGTAAGGTGCCTCTTACCTCTGCCCCCATCTCCACCCAGGTTGGGAGGTAAAGCTCTGTAGATAAACTTTTGAACTCGGGGGCTGCCCTGACCAGGGACAGAGACTTTTGGGTCATTGGACTTTTGGGACTTTGGGTGATTTGGGGTTGCTGGACTCAAGAACCAAAGGCAAAGGACACACCCCAATTTGCTTGGGGTGGGTTTTTTTGCTCATGGGTTGTGTTATGAATCCTGTTGGTGGTATTTCCCCAACATAATGCCACATTGTTTCTCTCTGTTATTAAAAGGCTTTTTGCTACACTCAGACTATGTGCTTGCAAGAGGGGAAGTATTGCCTCTTGGAGGCGCCCAGCGGGGGTGGTTTATATTTGTCCCAGCTCACTGGGTGGGGGCTCGAGCCGGTTTGCATTGTGCTATTGGAATGGATCCCCTAGATATTGAACCCGGCCCTTGTTGCTGCCAACTCTGATGGGCAGAAGGGTTACAACAGTATAACTTTTCCTTTTATAGGATCGTTTGCATATGCAGTGCAGTTGGGGGATAGTAACTATCAGAGCAAAGGAAGAGAAATGTGTCTGCAAAAAATCCAAAGCTACAGAGATTTCCTACCTTGTAATTTTGGGCAGCTTCTTCTATGGGAACCACAGTGTGAGCTCTGTTTTCAGAGTAACAGCCGTGTTAGTCTGTATTCGCAAAAAGAAAAGGAGTACTTGTGGCACCTTAGAGACTAACCAATTTATTTGAGCATGAGCTTTCATGAGCTACAGCTCACTTCACCGATGAAGTGAGCTGTAGCTCACGAAAGCTCATGCTCAAATAAATTGGTTAGTCTCTAAGGTGCCACAAGTACTCCTTTTCTTTTAGTGTGAGCTCTGTGATCCCAGGAGTCTCTGCAGATTGAACAAATTAGATTTTGATCCTCTTCACAGAACAGTTTGAGAGTCTCCTGGTGTTTCTCACACTCTCTCTTGCCTCCTGAATCTTTTGCTGCCTGTAAACTCAGCTGTTTGGCTATTTCCACAACATTTGCCAGCACCCAGTTTGGCTTGAAGTTTCTGTGCTGAGCAATTTTCCTGCACTGAGGGCAGGAGAAGTTTGTATCTGACTCTCTCCAGTACCGGGTGATGCAGGCTCAGCAGAAATTGTGCCCACAGCGTATAGACACTGGATCTTTGAAATAGTCCAGACAGATAGAACAAGTAGCTTCATCTTTGAGGCTTTCCACGGGGTTCTCTGCAGCCATAGCTCCCTAGGACAGTGTAACAGGGTAAGGTTCAATTTCCTGTGCTCAAAAATATGTCCTGCCTATAGCAGCAACTGGGTGTTTCCCTTCCTGGAACTGACTCATGTTTATTTTGCTGAATCCAGGGGGGAATTTAGCTGTGTCTGACTACAGTCATGTTATTACAGTCACATCCAAAACCATGGCTAAACTGGAGTTAAAGTGGATCAATTACTTTTTTGATCAGTTACTTATTAGAAATACTTGGAGAATTTTCTCAGGCACTCTATACAAAGTATGCAAATACTCTGCTGCTAACCCAATCAGACCTAATACTGTCCCATCCCCCCCAGCCTTACTTGGCATACTTTGTATGTAAGAGGAGGAGAAAAGGTTGTTGGAGTTACTGAACAGGATCAGACATCTGAAATCCACACAGTGGAGCTGACCAGAAAATGGAATTTCTCTTCTGTGGGAAATTCTCATTCTTCAAAATTTGTGTTCATTTCACAGTGGGACAAAAATCAATGCTTTGACATTTTCAGTCAAAATGAAACATTTTTGATATCTCCAAACCAAAGGTGTTTTTTTTAAAGTAAATTTGAAATAAAACATTTAATTTCAAATGTCAATTAAAAACCAAACATTCCATTTTGAATTATTTCCACATAAAATGACATTAAGTGGAAATGTCAATTTAAAAAACAAATCATTCCAAATGTTGATGCTGAACTCAACTAAAAAAAACGAAAACCATTTTGAATCTAATTCAAAGAGTTTCAGTTGACTCAAAACATTATTTTATTGCTGAGTTTTTCAATTTCACAAAAAGATTCTAAAGAACATGTTTCAGTTTGAATCAAACAATTATTTTCCCCAGAATTTTTGGGTCAGCCCCTGAACCAAAAGAAAACATTATTCACTCAGCTTTGATTTGCAGTATCTGGGCCACAAAATAGGAGTGCTGTCTAAAAATTTAGAACATTTTTCATGAAAAATATTCTCTGCAAGAATTTCAGCTGGTTTAAAAAGAGAGGAAAGAAAATAACTTTGAACATTTTATTGACAGTCAATAAATGTGAGGTTTCAAATTGCACACTAACTGGTCCCATTCTGAATTGACAGTTTAATGACCGCAGTGGCATGGGAGGCAAGTGAACTGGTCCCTCCCCTTCTGCCCGAGCCCTTGCCCCTCTCCCTCCCACTTCTATCACACTCCCCTGCAGAAGCCCAGAGCATCTCTACTATAGCTGTAGTGTGCCCAACCCCAGCCCCGGAGTGCCAGGCGGTGTGGCCATGGCCCCAGCACCCCCAAACCCCAGCCCCAGGCCTTGCAAGCACCAGCCCCAGCCGCCCCCAGTCCCAGCGGCAGGCTGGCCTGCCCGAGCCCCAGCCTGGACCACAGAAGAGCAGGAACTGGAAGCAGGCAGGAGGGAGCCTGGGGACAGAGGGTGGGCGCGGCCACTCTGAGCTGTTTGGGGAGGTTCAGCCTCCCCTGGCTTATTATACCCAGTCCCAGTGAGATATTTTACCAGCCATCTCAGGGACACAGTGAGAGACGTCATTCCGGACCCATCCAGAACCAGGGGTGGATTCTCTCCTCAATGAAAGAGGCCGGCGGGAAAGTGAAGATGGGGACTTTGTTGTCAGTATCGAAAAATGTCACTTGTCCATCTTCATAGTCCAGATTAATCTCAATCTTCCTGAATCATATTCAGGATCTGGAGGGGGAGGGGCTGATTGCACTGGATGATCTCCACTCACCTCCAAAGTCCTGATCCCCACTTTAGGATCTCTCTGGCAACATCCATGTTTAAGTCTCTGTTACCCTGCCCCTCCCAGAAATGTCTCCCTGAGGTGATTCCTTCACAGTCCAGAACACAGAGAACGGAATCAAATCTCTCAGGATTGTCAGGCACAAATTTTGCAGAGTTTCCATCCATGTGGCACTTTTCTGACTCACATGACAGGTTGAGCTCATGATCCAGAGTCACATTTGCTGGGGAGAGAGAGAATCAGAGCGTTAGGGGCAGAGCTCAGCCCTGGGGGAGGCTGAGACCATTTCTCACACTCCCCAGCATCCACATTCTGGCTGGGACAGTCCTGGGTCCCAGGGAGCTGCCTCTCTGCCCTGGATGGCTGAGACTAATTCCACTGCAGTTCCTCCACTTGGCTGCTGAGGGCACTATTGTGGCTGCCTTTCTGCCTCCTCCCCTGCTGCATCTCTCTGCTCCCTCTGCTGGGGCTGCCCCATTCCCAGAAGCACAGTTGGGGCAGCTGCTGGCTGTAAGTGTCTATGGTTAAAGCCACCCGCTGCCCTATCCCATCCAAAGAGAACGGTGGAAGACGTGGAACAGGAGATCGCCTCTCTCCAGCCTAGGAAGAACCATTAATAGGACCCTTCCCAACCCCAGGCAAAGGGTGCAGGAGGTGGCAGCACTGGAGGGAGAGTCTCTCGCTAATCCAGAAACAGGGAGAAGCATCAAGAAAAGAGCCCCCATCAGCCCAAGGGAAAGGGACGTGGCAGTCCTGAGGGGGGACCTCTCCATTCATGTCTCTGAATTTAATATTTCAGACATGTAGAAATATTCACCAGAACCCTCCTGGTCAGAGTTAAGGGTGTTTGGATGCTGGGCAGTGAGAAGGTTTCTGTTTACTGGTGTGTGTGTATCCCAGAACCAGTTAGGTACCACCGGACAGCTGTAAGGGGAATCCAAGCATTTGAGCCCCAGGATCCCCACATAGTTCAAGCCTCTGGGACCAGAACAGAGCCCCTCCATTGCCCAAATCTTGGGGTCCCTAGGCACATCTCTAGCCCCTTATCCTGAGATCCGGAACCTGCTGCCTAGCCCCTTGGTGCAGACCCTTCAGACTTTCTCATGCTTAAACACACCATCTCCCAGCACAGGCATAGTTTGGCTGCTATATTTAGGGAGGGGGCAAAGCGTGTGCACACATGCATGCACAGACATGCACACTGAAGCCAGTTCTCTTTGTTCACTGGCTCTCTCCCCCGACCTGGAGAGATACCTGGGCTGCTGGTGCTGGGGGGGATGGGCCAGCTTAATGGTGGAGCCCCAGCTGCTGCTGGCTGCCACTCCAGCACCAGCTTCTGCAGTGATATCACTGATCTGGTGCTGCTGCACCTGCCTCCCTGCTGGGGCTGCTGCTGCTGCTGCCAAGGGGATACCACATACCGGGCTCCGGCTTCCCCCCACCCATTCCCATATTCCCTTCTCTTCCTCTTCCTGTCCCCACTGTCCCATGCCACCTGTAATCGGGTCTACAGCAAACCCTGTATGGAGCAGAGGGGGGAAGGGATTCTCTTATCCCTGCAGGCAAGCAGCCCAGGGTGACCAGATGTCCTGATTTTATAGGGACAGTCCCCATATTCAGGGCTTTTTATTTTATAGGCACCTATTACCCCCCACCCCTTGTCCCAGTTTTCCCCACTTGCTATCTGGTCACCCTAAAGCAGCCTGACCACACCCCCACACAGCTGCTTCAACTGCCAATCATGGATGCAGACACCCAGAGGTGCCACCAATAAGGGAAACAAGGCCTGCTATAAAAGGAAAGAGCTCAGCAAGGGTAGGAAGACCTGGGATGGAAAAGTGGGTGATATCTCTGTACTAGGCTGCGTCTAGAAACACAGTTCAAAGACACTGAAGTAGACCACTAGGCCTAATTAGAAGCTGGGGTCCAAGAACTGTCCTGATTAGGGACTAACAAAAGAAAGCTAGTTGGGGGCAGTGAAGACCCCATGAAACACCAAATCAAGGACTGGTAACACCACCCTTAGTACCTGACTCTGCACAGACTGGACTAGTGGTTCTGGGGAGCGTCAGTGAGATGATTATGAGACAAACTCTGTGCGTGTGTGTGTAAGGGGACTGTTGCAGCCTTACTAACATTCAGTGGCGGTGTTTTGGTTGGCTAGCTCCCAGTACTAAAAGGGGAAGGGTCTATGGGAAACCGGGACCCTGAGACTGATAGTCCCCAGAAACAATGGGGAGACGCCAATGCTCCAGGTCAGCCAGAATGACAGGGCCAGCAGGCTAATCAGGGAGTCAGAAGGCCAGGGAGGTCCCGTCCTCCGTGTGAGCTGGATTTGCCTGGGTCAGACAGAGTGGGGCTGAGCTAAGGAGAAAGCAGGGGCCCAAGCTAAGGTGGGGAGCAGAGCTGTGCCAGATCCAGAGGGACCAGAAAAGCAGCCCAGAGAGAGCAGACCCTGTCCTGGGAGCAGAGCTGCAGCCCCAAAGCCAGAGGCACAGCCCAGAGAGAGCAGACTTGCCCTGGGAGGAGAGCTGCAGCAACCAGAGCCAGAGGGGCCGGAAAAGCAGCCCAAGAAGCAGGTCAGTGCTGGGAGCAGAGTCACAGAAGCAGCCTGCAGAGCAGACCTGTCCTGGGAGCAGAGCTGTAGCAACCAGAGGCAGGGGGCCAAAGAAGCAGCCCAGGGAGCTGGAGGCAGAGCAGCAGCAGTGCAGAGACAGAGTGGTGGAGCTGGGGCTGGAGCAGTCTGGAGCTGGGTGAGGTGAGCAGCTGGGGAGAGCGAGAGGGACCCTGGGCAGCAGGCCCAGCACAGGGAGACGCCTCAGCCAAGAGGCTTTGCAGGCCAGGCGTGGATCGTAACCCCGACAGGGCGGGAGCGACACTGGGCAGAAGAGTCCTACCACTTAGAGCATGAGGCCACCACCAGAGCAAGTGTACAACCCACAGCATCCCTACAGCACAGCCAGGGCCTGAGAAGAAGACCTGGGACTTACAAGGAACAGACTGTGAACTGCCCTGACATTCCAGAGACACTGTGATGTTCCCTGCCCCAGAGCGGGGTGATGTGTTTCCTTTAACCTTTCCCATTTTTCCTTATTCTTTTTAAAATTAATTGTTGATTAAATAACTTTCATTTGCTTTAACTTGTATGTAATGGTCAGTGGGTCAGAGAAGTGCCCAGTGCAGAGAGAGTACACTGGAGTGGGGACACCCTAGCCCCTGTCCTAGGTGACCACAGCAGGGTTGGA